TCGCATCCCGCCCGCCGCCCAGCCTCAGCCCGGGGTCGGCCCCGACGCGGCGTGGCGTGGCGTGGGCGTCGGGCACGGGTCGTGGCCACCCTCCGGCTCTGTCCGCGCCAGCGCGCGGGGCTGGTGGCCGGGCCTAGTGACAGGTGGGGCGGGCGGGCGGGCGGCCGAGAGCCCACCTGTCAGAGTGGTCGGCGGCACCTCGGGGTCTTGGGCAGCCCGGGGGCCTGCTGCGGCCCGGGCGGAGCCACGCAGCGTCGTGTGCCCGAGTGGGGGGCCTTGTGCCTCGGCGGGGCCTGTGGTCAGGCGGGGCCCGCGTGCCCAGGTGGGGTGAGCCTGACGGCTGCGCCTCGCTCCGCCAAGGGGCCGGGGTCTGGCCCCGCTGCCGGTGGGAGCTGCCGGTGCCCGCAGGGAGCATTTCCATTTGGAGAGGTGACTTAAAATCCCGGTGTGGGACCTGCTTGGCTAGCTCTCCTGTCGGGATTGTGCAAGAAAGGCCCCTGCTGCCCGGAGGCCTGCCTCGTGCTGGTGGGGAGATGTTTCCTTTGAAATGCGATGTGCGTTAAACTTCTTTTTTTTTTCCTTCTCATTCATTACTCATTCCTTTTTACCAGATAAGTCCGGTTTCTTCTGTGGAGGGTACGCAGTTAAAGCCTTGATTTCCTGGATCTGGTAACATGGCAAAAGATGTAAGTATGATTGTTGCATGCTGCAGACATGTTAGTACAGCTCGTTGCAGTTTTTGGTTTTTTTTTTTTCCTCCCTTTATTTGAGAGTAGCCATACGTGCGTGGCGGTGGTTTGCTCAGACATTTTACAGGCAGGAGCTGGGATTGAGGTGAGGGATGGCGAGTCAGTAGGTGGGTGCCTCCCCTCTGCACAAATGTTCTTTGTCATCTGAAGCCTGACACGGTTCTTCTTGTGGTTTGATGATGCTGTCTGGGTTTTTCCTTAGTCTATCTAAACTGCTCAAAAAAATTATTTTTTAATACGTCTCTCAGATGTAATGAATGTGTGAAGGGGGTGTTGTTTGTTAGTGGGTTTCCACACAGGGGATCTGTCAACATGGACCTTACACTGTACTTGTTTTATGTAGTATGTAAGACTTTAATTCATCTTTGATGGATTGAATCCCAAATACTTGTTTGGGCACATTTTTCTCAGAAAGATGACATTTGGTGATTAATGAAACACGGTGGAAATGCTGGTTAGTTTAGCTTTTTATTTACTACGGAGCTACCAAGCGTTTTGAAGTTGTTTTTTTTTTTTGTAACAGATATGAACAGTTAGGCTTTTAGGCTGCAAAATGCTAGTCTGTCTTGTTGGTCACATACATACATTTTTTGCAATATGACTTTAACTCCCTCCAGCACTGACTGTGTCTGTTCCAGCGTTTCTCAGTATTTATTGTTCTAAGACTATTAGATTGATGCCTTTTCCGTGTGGCCCTGGAAATGCAGGCAGACATACTGCATCGGCTAGAGTTGTGCCCAGGTGGAGCGAAACTGGTACTGGTCTTGTCCTGACTAGAGGCCCAAGGATTCAGCCATGTTTAGCGGCCCACATGGGTCAGACTGTGCCTCTCTTCTGGTCATCAAGCACTGGACCTGCTCTTGGGAGTTGTGTCTCACCCTGAGAGACCTTGTGTGTGTCACCTGAAGTCACAACTATATATGGCGTTGGCTCGATCCTGTTATGTCTGTTTATTTACATCCATGCCCTGACTCCTCCCCCATGCGTGCCCGGATGAGAGACATGCCACGCCGCTCGGTGCATGCCCACAAAGTAGCTAGATTTGGTAAAAGGTGTGTAAGCGGGGTACTGGCCCCCATGCCTTTGTGAGCCCGCATGGCATGGTGGAGTTTCAGGGAACATTGCATTTTCAGTGAGTCAGCATGCTCCCAGTCCTGTCACCTCAGTTTTGCATTATGCACTCCTGTGTGCTGTGTCCCAGGGGGTCACACTGTGATGGCAAATGGTCAGGATCTCCTATCCAGCTGAGAGTGTGAGGTCAGCCTGTTTGGGGGTCAGCCACTGTGGTGTGGTTAGGCCAATGCTGTGACTGGTAACAGTAGCTTAGTCCCCCCACAAGTGTGCATACACATAGGCAGAGGTGAAGTGGCTCTCCCTGCTTTCTGACTGGAAGTGGAGATTGCATCTGTTCTTAAGTAGGATGTGATGTTTGGGTTCGGAAAGGGACTTTGTAGCCTGTGCTGAAGGGAAAGCAAGAGGCACCATTGAAGTTTTCTAAGCGCTTGACGCTTATGGTGAAATCTGGCTGTAACGTGTGCTGTAGGCACGGGGCTCTGAAGGCCATGACACCAGTGAGAACAGAGACAAAAGTCATACTCTAGGTCACAGAAGGAGAGTAGGAAGGGCAGACAGAAGACAGATAGCTTAGGGTTTTCTGCCCCTGCTGGTGCCCAGGCAGACCAGCAGGTAAGTCGGGCTTGCTGTGGAGTGGAGCGGAGCGGGGCGGGCAGTTGTCAGTGAACAGGATGGGGATGGCAGGAGCTGGCAGAGGAGCAGTGGTGGAGGGCTGGTGAGTGCCTGCAGGTGCCCTGCTGTGGAGGCTAGGGAGGCCTGGTATGGGTTGGTATGTCTCCCCTCTCCCAAGGTCGGTGCCGATGCTCGCTGCCTGGGGAACTGTGCTGTCTTACTAGGAAGAATATTATTGAATTTGTCAATCATCAGAAAAGCTCATCCCCATAGATGTGCCTGGAGGAGTGTTTTCTTGTTGATTATAAATTCCCTCATTGACAATGAGGGTTAACTATCAAGTCCATCCCTTGTCAACCTGAAAACAAACACACCATTTTGAATCTTAACATTCCATCCTTGGTCCTCAGAGGCTCATCTCCTAAGGCAAAATACTTTTAGTCCATTGGTACGAGCCTCCAAATCTTAACATTTCTAACATGGTTCAAAACCATAAATCTGGGGCTGTTGAGACAGAGCACTTGCCAGACCTCAGTACTTAAGTTTAAGTTTGATCCCTGTGACTTACATGGTAGAAGGAGAGGACTGACTCCCATACGTTTTCCTCTGATCTCCATGTATTCTCTGTATGGTCAGTGCGTGAGCACGTGCACACACACACCCACAAATAAAAGTCAGTGTAATAAAAAAAAATTCAGGGTCTGGAGAGATGGCTCAGTGGTTAAGACACAGATAGCTCTTTCAGAGGATGTGATTCCCAGAATCTTCATCAAGTGGCTCATAACTGCCCTGAGTTCCAGCTCCTGAGGGGATATGACACCTCTGCCCTCTATGGATACCTGTACTCTCATATAGATACATATGCACATGTGTGCATGCACACACACAGAAATAATAGTAAATCTTTAAAAAGAAATTTTTTTAAGGCAGATTTGTTCTTTTTCAAGACTCAGTAGCAAAAGACTGGAACAACGCAGAACCAAAACTGAGTAGGGTAAACACCAAACCTGGCAACTCCCGGGCCTGCTATCTTGGGCTTGTAATGGAACCGTCTGGGCTGTAACAGACTTGGGTAGGCAGCCTTGCCTCTCTGGTACCGCTTCCTGGAGCACTTGAGGCCTCGTCTGCCAGCTCCATTCTGTGCTTGCAGCTTTCTTTGGCAGGTATTCCTTGGTCTGTCCCTGTGATAGTCTGCATCTTGAGGTCTCCATTGCAGCTTAGGCCTTACCTTCCCAGCTTCATGCGGGGGCCTCTCGGCCGAGACTCGAACCCTGCGCCCTCTTATATGACGATGGTGTCTGCAGAAACAATCCTCAGGACAGTTCTGCTGCCAGCTTGAGGTAGAGACCCCTTCTGTGGCTCCAGTGGCGAGCTGTGGCTCCAGTGGTGAGCTGTGGCTCCAGTGGTGAGCTGTGGCTCCAGTGGCGTGCTGTGGCTCTCCAGCTGGACTTGGGGAAAGAACTCCCTAAGCGGTTGTTTTCTTTCGATGGCATTCTCAGTTCAAGTTCTTTCTATCCAGTGGGTTCTAACTTTCTTAAAAACAGAAACAAAAAAACCTATTGAATGGGTGTGTGTGCGCGCACACGCATGTGGTCTCATGCGAACAGATAGGACAGCTTTGTGGAGTTGTTTCTCTCCTTGTCTCTGTATGGATTCTGGGGACTGAACTCAAGTTGCTAGACTTGCTTTTACCTGCCCAGCCATCGTGTCTGGAGTTGCTATTTATATCAGTTGGACCTTTCTGTGAGTGACTCTTGCCCAAAGCATGCTGGTCTTTTTCTTTTCTTTCTTTTTTCAGGTTTTTCCAGATAGGGTTTCTCCGTGTAGCCCTTGCTGTCTTAGAACTCACTCTGTAGACCAGACTGACTTTGAACTCAGATCTGCCTGCCTCTGCCTCCCGAGTGCTGGGGTCCTAACGGCCTGCAGCGCCCAGTTCTAAAGATGCTTTACTCGCCTTGGCGCAAAGTGTGAGGTTTCCCCTCAGTTGTAGATGCTTTGTCTATATCTTCCTCGCGTGTAGTTGTAAACTCACGCCTCCTCCGTTATCTGCATGCCCATTTGACCATCTAAGAGCAGTAAGCAGTAGCTGTGCCACACCCTGGATGCTGCCCTGTCTTGAAATCTCCACCAGACAGCTTAGCCTGCATTTTCTTTTCGGTTACTTTAACATTTAGCCTCACTTAGATTTTAAGGGCATGGGCAGAATATGGCCAGATTGTTTGCCAGAAGGTAACACAAGTGGCCTCTAGCCCAGTTCCCAATAGAACCCTTGTTTCCCTCTGAAACTTCAGGAACCTGGCCTTCAGTGTCCACATTTACATTGACATTCTGGTCTTTTCGGATGCTTGCCAGAATGGCTTAGAAGTTTTGCTTGGAGCCTTCCAGGATTCCTTTACATTACAGGCCTGCAGGTCATGGATCATGTTTACTGCAGCAGTGCCCCATGCCTCAGTTTCCCATATTAGTCACGTTTCTCATCACCATGACAAGAGAGCAACTTCAGCAAAGGTTTTATTTTGGTCATGACAGTAAAGGTGTACTGGAGACAGCTATGGTGGCTGGTCACATTGTGACCACGGTCAGCAAGCAGAGATGAGTTTGGGTGTCAGCTGGCTGCCTTCTCTGTCCCTTAGTATGTAGCGTGAGGCCCCAGTCTATAGGACGGATGGTACAGCTCACATTCAGGGTGGGTCCTCGCAGAAAACACTCCACAGAGTCTAGAGGAGTGCTTGCATGGCGTTCCAAATCAAGTCAGCGTCACAGGGAAGGTGAACCGTCACAGTTCAAATAGCTCCTGTACTATGGGTTTTGTCTTTTTAGTAGTTATTTGTTTACTTGACATGTTTTAAAATTGTAGACAGTTGCTACTGAACAAGTGAATTAATACAGGAAATAAACTTTAGTGTAGACCAGTGATCTCTGCCACAGTCTTTATCTGTGGACTGAAAGCTGCTTTTTGGACAGCAAGTTCGCTTTCTTCAGTTTCCTATGTGCACGGTACCTAGAATGTCTGATGTTGAGGATAGGTAGACAGCAAGAAGACTCGGCCACTGCAGTCTGCTAGGCTTTGAGTGTTCCAGCTCCTCACAGTGAGGGGAGCCCGTGTTGGGCTGCATAGGGCCAGGTTTCAGCAGCTTATGCTCAGGGTACAGTTTGTTCAGAAGGGCCTGGGAAGAGGCCGGACTCTAGAAGTGCATGAGTGCCTGGCCCTCTCGCTGTGAGCATCGCTGGGGATTTTGTGCCTTCCAGGA